TTTTGAATAAGTAAAAATCTTGTTGAGAAGTAGATCTTACAAATCCCCATTGGTATTAAGGCCAATACTTGAAGCTAGTTACTCTAAAAGAAGGTATTTTGTTCCTTGAAGAACGATTTTGTTGTTCGAACGGAATTTTCAACTATCTTCGGTCGAAAGGACTCTCCAATATTTATGGTGGGCATCTGGATCAACTATATTGAAGTTTTTTCATCACTGAAAATAGCGCTTTTCGATTCTTCCTAAAAATTTATAATTTTTTAAAAATTCTAATAATATATTTTGCGCCATAGAGTGGATTGTGTCAAATCGCTTTATGTGTCGGTATAAGTCTTTGCGGTGTGTTCTTTCTTCAGTCACCATTTTTATGAAATTATGTAAAAAAATAATAATAATTGTCAGAGATTGTTATTTCGGGTAATAATAAAGGTTCCAACATCCAGTTCAGTGTTTTATTTAAAATAAAAAAATAAAGGTCTAGTTGGATCGCCATATATTAACTACAAATAATATTTTTTACTGTTTTTGTTTGAAATACAAATTTGTTCATTTAGTTATCATTGCGCCCTGATAAAATTATATAAATTTGAAAACTTACTTCAGTCAGAAGTCTTTTTAAACCTTCTACTTCGTCTTCTCCTGCATTGAGCTCACCACCGGGTAGCTTAAAAAATGTTGTACCCAGCTGAAGGAGTAATACATGTGGCAATCCATGTTCATGAACTAGCAAAACGCCTTCCACAGATCGCCGCATTCCAATACGATCGAATTCTTCTCGCATACGCTGAAACCGAGAGGGTACTGATGGATCTTTTTCAAATAAAGGCTCTTTCGTTCCAAAAGTGTAATTAGTTAATGGATATCTGTAAGTATAAGTAATAAGATATGCATATAAAAAACAGATATGAGGAGTTCCATAATAAAACGTAATAACTCAAATTTTAATTTTTTCGAATATCGTATGGGATGTAAAGGTATCCACACACCTACGCGATTCTGTCGCAACGAATCCGCACCG